CCCCCCCTAAAAAAACAACTCTATAGACACTGCAATAACTACTCACTGCAGGGAAAACAACAGCAGCTAACATGACGGCTCTTTGACTTTGAATCAGGTTAACCAATATATAAAGCACCACATCAATATACATAGTTATGTAAAGCATTTTTTACAAATGTATGTATGGGCATTTTCGTTTTTCGAGCCAAAGACACTGTGTAGTGTACATACATCTATTAACCTGACCAAAAATAATTAAATGAAAATATCAATATGTACAATGAAGCAGTTAACAGACATTATTTTAGTTATTCAAGTAATTAAATAAATATCCTAAACAACAACCTACAAAAAAAGGTGTCATTCGTAGTGAATAGACACGTGCAATTGTGAATGTTTTATTAGTGAGTTAGGAAGCTGGAATTTAAGAAGCTATTCATTATCTGTACATCTTCTATGGCATTTTTGTTCAAACAATATAGAACAATGAAAACACTGGTCGTTATAACTGCGTGGTTATGTCTGTTTGGAGCACTTTTATGTTACGTTTTTAATATTCTCTGCAGCATGTTCTCCGATGCTGGACTCTGACAAGCCGGGCAGCAGTGTGGTGGAGATCCAGTGTCTCCTGGACAACGTTGGAGCATCAGAGCTGGTGATTGACCTCATCGTCAACACAAAGAACGACCGGGTGTTTGAGGAGAGCATCCTTCTGGGCATTGCCCTTCTCCAGGGCGGAAACACACAGACACAAGTGGGCGACACAGACACTCAAATCCTTTTATTTCCGTCCATATTGATCTTCTATAACCTTCAGATTTATGTTGACTAATACTCTGCCTCCCACCAGAACTCCTTCTATAACCAGCTGTTCAAGCAGAAGAAGTCTGAGAGGTTCTTCAAAGTTTTCTACGACCGCATGCGTTTGGCCCAGCAAGAGATCCGCGCCACCGTGTCCGTCAATATGTTCGAAGTCAACTGCAGGAAAAGGGATGATGACAGTGACGTCACCAGCCTCAGGTCGAAGAAAGGTACAGTCGAGTATTGATGCATTTTAATCTTTGAATTATAACCAACACACCACTGCTCCTTGGGGTTAACCACATCCTCGAGTGTGTTTAGAAGACATTTGTCTTATTTGCTGTCTTCAACATGGAGCTGTGGAAAAAACTAATCAGAAAGCAATCTTTATATAGATTGAACATGGATAATGATGTCAGATGTACCTAGGGATGAGCATTTACCAGTGACATACTGAATCAGTGGGGCCATGCCTTAGGCACAGCCAAACTTTTACATTGTAATGGGCTTCGAAGGAGCGAAAAGCCACAAAATAGGCTCAAATATAATCTTAAAAACCGAACTGCTCTTATCTACAGTATGTGTGGTCCTCGAGTTCAGGTTGACTTGGAGTTTACAGTATACAATGGAAAAGGATAAATCCAGAATGATCTTTGTAGCCCTGCTGACCTCTGTGCGACTGTTGTTTCTGCAGTCACATGTCAGAGGCCATGTGACGCCCACATCACAAGCCTACCACAAGACCATTGTATCCAAATCAGTTACTTTCATTCAACAGAACCCAACTAAATAATTTATTTTGTAACATGTCAAAGTAAAGCCTGCCATTGATCATTATCTGAAATGGTATCCTTTGCATGTTGCATGTATCAACTTAATCTATAAGTGAATGTATTTTCCAATTATGTATATTTTTTTCAAATATGTCCTTTGTGCTATACTCTAGATAAAGACTCAGGGCTTTATATGAGGGAGGACATGCGTGGTCAGCTGAAGGAGGCCTCCTCAGCGACCTCCAAAGCCTTCTGTGCCTTCAGAAAGGAGCTGGACCCCGACCTCGAAGGCTTGGGACACAACAGTGAGATGGCCGGTGCCGAAGAGGTTTTAGAAGAAACTCCAATGAGCCCAGCCATCACCATCATGAAACCAATCCTGCGTTACCTACAGCTGCTCTGTGAGAACCACAACACAGACCTGCAGGTACAGGCCCCTTTTACGATTGAGAGTGACCTTGAAGTTCAAGTTTTCTGAAATTGACTGCTGATTTATTGTATTTATCCTCTGAATCCAGAACTTTCTGCGCAACCAGAACAACAAGACCAACTACAATCTGGTGTGTGAGACTCTTCAGTTCTTGGACTGTATTTGTGGAAGCACCACCGGAGGCCTCGGGCTGTTGGGCCTTTACATTAATGAGAGTAATGTGGACCTGGTTCGCCAAACCCTGGAAACCATCACAGAGTACTGCCAGGGACCCTGCCATGAAAACCAGGTAGATGGAGGGTTTGTTAATGTGGAGGCTTATTCTAAAATGTGTATTTTATTTTTGTACTCAAAATCTTGGAAACATTTAGTAAAATAAACATGCAGCAACAAGGACGACCTAGAGAGAGAACAAACAGCAATGCAATAATGTATTGATAAGTAATTAGTCTGCCTAGCAATTTAATTATTCAGAATGTCTCCTTAATTTTTACATTAATCCTTTATCTCACACGTGTGTGTTTATAGGGTATTACCATTAATTTAAACATGGCTCAGCCAATCGTAACCAAGGACAGTAACTATGCATTTCATGATATTGATCTTGCCCTCTTCTTTTCTGTGTGTATGTTTGTCAATGTTCACTGATCAATTTATTTATTTTCTTATGTGCATTCGCTTTAACTATACACCTCTTTTTTCCAGAGCTGTATAGCCAAGCATGAGTCCAATGGCATTGACATTATTATAGCACTGATTGTGAACTCCATCAACCCCCTGGGGAAGCATCGGATGGACCTTGTGCTGGTGCTGAAGGTGAGCGCCTCGTGCCTCTGAGAGCCTGAGAGGCTGCTTGCAATAACGCACTGGCATTAGAAGCCATCACTATAGCAATACTTACCTTTTTCTTTAGAGCAGTAATTACCCATAGTGCTAGAGGCTGGGAACAAGTAACTGGAGGTAGTTTGACCAAATCCAGATTGTTTTAAAGAGCAATGCTGCAAGAAAGGCATGATTCAGAGAATAAAGTGCCACATCTGCTTCATTGGTAATGATGTTTGCATGTGGTTTTTGATGTGTAGACACGTGTATAGCTGTGAAACTGCTAAGGATTTCAATTGTACAACCCAATTAAAAAAATATAGTTTTCAAGTGTTTTGATTCTGCTAAAAGAAATGTCATCCATTGATTCCTGAATAGTTTGTAGATTACAGTTGATCAAAATCTAAAATCTCATTGGCTTGTGTTGTAGAACAATGCCTCCAAACTCTTATTGGCTATCATGGAGAGCCGTCATGACAACGAGAACGCAGAGAAGATTCTCTACAAGATGAGACCCACTGAACTGGTGAGTAGCTAGGTCCCATGGAAAACCTGTTTTCACCTCACTGTAGGTCGCATTAACTTTTCACACTGTTTGTGCATCAGGTGGATGTCATGAAGGAAGCCTACGCCCAGGGCCTGGAGAGTGAGGAGGACGAGGACAGTGTGGGAGACCAGATCAAGCCCAGAGACGTCGGACACAACATTTACATCCTGGCCCACCAGGTGATGAAAATGCTTGAGCTGTTTTTTATTCGTGGGATAGGCAATACTGCATTTCCTCTCTTTGTCTGTCTGACCTTCTGCCGACCTCAGGGCCGTGCATAAAGTGTGTTTGTGTGTGTGTCCACGTGCATGCTCCAATTTAAGTGTGTCTCCTGCTCTAAATGATGAATCACTGCTCTTCTATGAAAGAATTGCTCTGCCAGTTTTACCAAAATTAGCTTTCAGGATGTGACACTGGTTGTGCAGACAGGTGGGCTGTAGGTGTTCACTGAAGCAGTCGTTAGTCACTGTATCACTAAACTAAATATCCTTTGCCACATTTGCACAGCGTTTTCAGCAGTAAGGAAATGAGACGGAAGTGTTGTGTGTGTGTGTGTGTGTGTGTGTGTGTGTGTGTGTGTGTGTGTGTGTGTGTGTGTGTGTGTGTGTGTGTGTGTGTGTGTGTGTGTGTGTGTGTGTGTGTGTGTGTGTGTGTGTGTGTGTGTGTGTGTGTGTGTTATTTTTAGTTAGCGAGGGCAGCCCAAGTCTATCAGGTTTTCACTTCTGTCAAACAGGATATCTTTGTCAAACCTGTCAATTTATTTATTTTTATCTCAAATAAGTGAAAAATATCCACCGATGACACACAGACTTTGACATAACTAATAAAGTAGATTTTTAAAGTTATGATCCGGGGTTTGCTCCTCAGGCCAGCTGCAATTCATTGTCAGTGGTGTGTCAGATAAGAAATGCATAATGAATAATTAAATAAAGATTCAATAATAAACAGTAGTTCATAGAAATACAGACAGTAAACTATTGTACTATTTCCCAGGCAACCATGGGATTTACAGACAGCCCATTGCAACAATTCTGCATTTGTCCCCCTCCTTTGGCAATTATATATTATTTACTGTACAGAAAAAAAGTGGTGGTATGACAACGCTCACACTTTTTCTGCTGCTCCCAAGTTACCAACTTCATTTATTCCAGGTTTAAGCATCCAATAGTATTTAACAGAATTGTTAACATAGAACTTGGATAAATGGCAACATGGATAAGATACATAATTATCATGCTGTAAAGTCTGGGTGTAGAACCTATATGTATATTTAATGTAACTCCAGCTTCTAGAGCTCTTCATTTCACCATTATTTGGCTTTTCTGCTCTTCTGTATTCTTATTTTCCTGTGAAGTTGCATCATCTTTTTTACAATCCAATTGATTGTCTCAGTGTCTGTTTTAAAGCGTTTTTTCACCTTATGGTATTGTTGTGGGAATCATGGGAAATTATTTGTATTGAGACAGTTATTGTCATTGAGAATGCCCTGTTGGTAAAAAACATTAAATGGCTGCATCATTTTATTTTTCAATCCTAGCTGGCCCGACACAATAAGCTCCTCCAGCAGAGCCTGAGGCCGGGGTCCGGGTTGGGCCTGGGGGCCGGAGTGGACACCGACAACGAGAAAGACGACGCCCTCCTTTGCTATGCCAACCACACAGCTCAGATAGAGGTAACTCTCATCATTACTTCATTTATGTAAACACTGATACTCGTTTTTTCCCTTCTCACTATTACAAAATATCTATAAACCCGTAATGAGAACTTTTTGCTGGTTTTCCATTTGCCAGATTGTGCGTCACGACCGCACCATGGAGCAGATCGTCTTTCCGGTCCCTGACATCTGTGAATACCTCACGGACGAGTCCAAGACACGTGTGTTCACCACCACGGAGAGAGACGACCAGGGCAGCAAGGTTAACGACTTCTTCCAGCAGTTCGACAACCTCTACAACGAGATGAGGTGGCAGAAGAAGATCCGCAGTAAGTCTTCACATTCAGAATCCAGCGCTTGCAAAAATAATGATGGTGGCAGCAGAGCGGGCTGGTAAATCATGATTATCAACCAGAGTGGCTGGTTATTGTTATTTCCAGAATAAATTGAAACGCCTGCAGCAACTGTGTGTGTTTGTGTGCTGAGTTTGTGTCCCTGTACTTATTAATGCTTCCTGTTCTGTTTGTGCAGAGAAAAAGGCTGTGTTCTGGTTCTCACGCAACATCTCTCTTTGGGGGAGCATCTCCTTCTACTTGGCCTGTCTGCTCAACATCGCTGTGGCCGTCTTCTACCCATTTGGTGATGATGGAGATGAGGGTGAGAATATATTGGTGAATAAGGAGATCATTCGGTTATATAAACGGTTCGATTATAAATGATTATTTACAGTTCTTAATAGGGGTTTATCCTGCATGCGTGGATATAGCACACTGACCATCAAACCATTTATTGGTAAAAGAAATATACCATAACATAAAAGCATATTATTATTATTATTATTATTATTATTATTATTGTGTTTAATTTATTATTTAAAATGCGGTCATAAATGGAAACACAAATACAGGACTGAAGATAAAACTTTGAAAACCATGAACAAATAGAAATCGATTAATTGATTTCAACAAACATGTACAAACTAAATTGCACAGGTTTGAAAATATTTATTTTGAGTAAATTCAAGTGACAGGTGATAAAACTGTGCACCCACTATTAGTTAAGGACATCATTTAAAAGTGACGCTTGACTGAACGAGGATATCACATTTATACCTGACTCCTCTGGCCTAGGAGGAGTCACAAGTGAGGGAGACGAGGAGGCCAAATAAGGCATTGTCTTGACTTGCTAGGACACTTGAATAGAACAAAGACATTGTTGTACTCATGGGGACTAGGCTTCTCCAACTATGACAGGTCAAACTCTCTGCTTTGAAAATACCTATTGTTTTCAGCACTTTATTGCGCTGTGGGATTGCATTTGAAAAGGCCTCTTGGCTGTGTCACCTGAGTTTGTGTGTGTTTGAAGGTGATTGTTACGACCCGCCCCCTACTCCGTGGTAGTGGCTCGTGGGGAGACCCGTAACATAAAAGAAAGCGCACAAAAAAAACAGTGCTTGATAGCGATCATTTATTTGATGTACAGCCGTTTACTCACACAAGCCATCTGGCAAACGAACGAGGTCTGGAGGACAGGCCAAAAGAAACAAAAAGAAGGAGGGGGCCCGAGCCAGCCACACCATGGGCCGTAGGACCCAGAACTTCCCTCCCCTAACCAGAAATCAAACAAAACCCTATGGGAAACAAAATAAAGCCACGAAAACTAGACGACCAGGTCCTCCAGGCTACACATCAAACATCAGCAGCAATGGGGTCTATAGCTCAAAAGCAGCAGAGAGATCCTCAAAAGAAGATTGACTTCCAGCATTAGGATAGGCGACGGATCCTTCTCCTCCATTCTCCCCTTATAACCCGGCTGAGTGGACTTAGGAACACCTGGGCAGAGGAGTAGCCAGGGGCAGACCAGGTGCACCTGCGCAGCAGGGAGACAGAAAATACAACAAGGAGGGGAGCACGTAACAATGCTACTGAAACAAAAACATTTCCCAACTTGGGATCAATAAAGTACATTATCTTATCTTAAGATGATCGATGGCTACTGCCATATTTGCTAAATTTGTCTCTGAACCTTGACAAGTGCATGTTTCAGGCTTATCAATGAACAACAGGAGGGGACAGACATAAGATCAGCTATTAAATAAAGCTCGTTTGACCTTAGCTGTCATGTGGGTATATATTAATGCTGCCCATTATGGACACAAGCAATTTTCACCCATTTGTTAATTATATGTTTTAAATTTGAGTGTTTCCTATCCCCTAAACCTCCAGGGGTGTACACAGTTTAATACTGGCAACTTCTAATTATGGGAAATACGAAAACGTCTTTTAAAACTAAAATTCCTAGTAGAGACGTGCCATAGAACATGTTGCGAAACACAATTAGCCAGCATGTGTAGTTCTGGGGGGTGGGGCTGGCCCCGTTCAATCCAGTTTTGGATAGTCTGCCGTGGTTTCATTCCATTTCAAAGAGCTGTTTGAAGCTCGGCGTAACCTTGGCGCACTGCCACTCCAGCATCCAATCACAGAGCTTGAGGACTAATCACGGGGTTTGTCAAGCAAAGCGGATGTTGTAGTCCCAAACGATAGCTGAGGATTATGGGTAGTGTCTTCGGCCATCCTAAAATCCCAAAAAACTATTTGTTTCTCCGAATCGAAGGTTAAAAACAAAAAAGCATTGTACACAATTTAAAACCAATCAATGTTGTTTAATTAACAAGGATAAACTGATGTTTTTTAGTGGATGGGTACGGCAGATATCACTGTAAAATCATTTGACAGTGAGGGGAATACTTCCGGTTTTATTATGAAAACTTCGAGACCGGAAATACTGTTTTCACCCCGTGAGGGTTGACGCCAACTTTACATGGACGCTGCCGTCAATAGAAATGAATAGGGGAAAGACGTAGTATATACACGTTCTCCTGGCGAGACCTCAAATCATCTTCGTAAAATCTATCAAACTATAGATCCTACACATCCACTGGACCTGGATTCTAAAAGTACAATATACACTTCTCGCTAGAAATCTAATCAAAAAGNTCTCTGGAAAATCCTAGACCAGTTTGGCCATTAAAATGCTTTTTGATTTGATTTCTAGCGAGAAGTGTATATTGTACTTTTAGAATCCACGTCCAGTAGATGTGTAGGATCCATAGTTTGATAGATATTACGAAGATGATTTGAGGTCTCGTCAGGAGAACGTTAATAGTACTACGGCTTTCCCCACNAATTTGCGGCAATTGCAAACGCTCCGAAGTGTCGTATATTCACAAATAACCCTCCCTGGAAAATCCTAAATTGTAGAATAGTTTGGCCATTAAAATGCTAAGCATTTTAATGGCCAAACTATTCTACAATTTAGGATTTTCCAGGGAGGGTTATTTGTGAATATACGACACTTCGGAGCGTTTGCAATTGCCGCAAATTGTTGTTTCTTACACGACCACTAGAGGTGCTAAACTTTAAAACGTGACTATAGGTCATAATAAGCTGCTGAACAATCGACCTATTTGGTTGTTTTTTGTAGGAAGACAGGCTGAGAAAGTGATGTCAGACATTAGCTAAAGTGCTTGTGTAAATTAGTAGCTTCATTTATTAGTGATTATGCCTGGGAAGCAAGTCTGGGTGTTGTATGCCTGTTAAAATGTCTCTGTGTAAGCAGAATTTAAAATATTTTTTTATTATTGGATGTGAACTTCTCACAGTGTGGATAGATGGACTAAGCACAGAGGAAGCACTTGTTCGTCATGTCAATGCCAGCCACAACAATGTGACAGGAACACAGTGATTTGGCAAAGTAATTGATTTTCCTTCATCAGCTGGGGGAGGTGTTTTAACGCACATTAGAGGTGTTATAAAAAGGGACTCAGACTTGAGGTTTGTTAACACCAAAACTTCCCAAAAAATTGTACTTAAAAATGCATACATGAGTATAAGGACTTAGTTTGCTTTGTATCATTTTCAATGATATTCCACATATATAGTCCCAAAATTCCTCATAGTAATTTCAGTACTTGAAGTTTCCCTGTGTGGTATCACTTTTAAGGGCTTTGGGGAATTGTATTTCATGATTGCCTTTAGACTGTATTTAAGTAAATTGCACTATAATTGTATGGTAATAGATATTTTTTGAAATCACCCCCTTTGCTGTAATAATCAATTTGATGCATGCTTGTCTGCTCTGTGAGGGAAGAGGTTAGCTGTCCCCTTTAGTTTTAGACGGAGGCTTTAAGGGGGGGATCCACTGAAGGCATATGTCAGTGAGGTAAAGAGCGCTGACAGCCATACGTCATCTCTGCCTGGTGCAGGCCCCTGTATTTAAAAGAGTACGGCAGTCAAAAGCCCATAAAAGTGAGTGACTCCTCTGGAGCATCTGCCACTGCATGCAGGGAGGAGATTCAATGTGAAAAAGGGGAGATAATGTGCTCACTCACTAATGGGCACCCGACTAGACACAGGCTCATTTTTCACATCATGTCATCTGTAAGGTTTGAATAAAAGTAATGGCCACAATGAGCCTGGATCTCTCCCAGCCATTATGGCTTTTGCTTCCTCACTTTTATTTGTGTTGACTTGTACAGTCGGAGAAGATGACAGTGTGCGGCCTGTGGATCAGTCAGAGTGATGATCCGCTCCCCTCTGCTGCTGACAGGTTCCTTCTCTCAGCCAGGCGTATGAGGCCAGAATGCCGCACTACGTCACATCAAATGCTGTAATCTGACAGAATAAAGGGATTTGCACACTGGAGACATCACAAACTCTGTCTTTTGTAATTTTCTGACAGAGACAGAAGGGGGAAATGAAGGGGTTTACAGTTCCATGTAGTAAGAATTAGTGTCAGTCAAAGTTAAGTGGCTATTTTAAGATAAATAGGAGAGGATTTCCGTGGCATGTTTTGGGGCAATGGGCTTTAAAAGACTATGCTAATGTGAGCAGATACTGATTGGTCGTTGGATGTTTTCATTTCCTGAACATTCAGAGTCGCTGGACACAGCGTGTCTAAATATCCATTTTGAAAAGGTTAGTGCGTAATTAACGTTTAAATTCACTGCCACTGTCAGCTGTGTTCAGTTCAGAATAACAATAAATGCTCAGATATGAATATTTTCTTCTTAAGCATACACTGTTCACACAAACCTATGCAACTGCATAACAATAATAACAAATAATATTTTTATTTGAATAAATAATATAGTTTTTTTGAGTGTTTTATTAGTGTCAGCCCTCTTACTTAACATAATGATTTAATGTAGAAATGGTGAGGAAAAGCACTTATATTTAATAACATATTTTATGCTACATCAATAACTTTTAAAACAAAGGACTGTTTTGTGTCAGCCACGATGAAAACGTGAAGACGGATGAGAAAACAAGTGATTTCCTTATTAGGTTCAAGAGTCAAAGGCCTTCCTCCAGAGCTGTGGGCTTCAAGAGCTCGGAAGATTAAGACATATATTGGATTCATGATGGAGGCCACAAAGTTCATTTTCAAAATAAAATAGAATATTATTCACAGTCCTTTTAAAATTCAGATTGCCAGCTGACCTGTGACTTGGAAGTAGTGTATTACATTTTCAATGAGCTGCCACCATGGCAGTAGAAGGAACAATCCCATTTCTTGCTCCTCTGCCAGGGGAATTATTGGATTAAACATACCATGGTTTAAAGAACTAAACAAAGATACTGTCCAAATTAAATCTTTACATTGCTTATTG